TGGATTTCGATGCAGCCCGCTCCGATGCACGTTCCGATCCGATCCGATTGATCGGCTCGATGCTGATTCCTCTCGCTTCGCGGGGTGCACGTCCAGAGCACGCGCAGTCCAGTCGATGCGGGGCCGGGTGGGAGCCTTTTGGGCACATCTTGGAGGCCTCTTGGGGGCCTCTTTGGGGCCTCTTGGAGGCCTCTTTGGGGCCTCTTGGGGGCCTCCTTGGGGGCGTCTTGGGCCGTCTTGGGGGGCTCTTGCGCCGTTGGGTCCCTTCGGAGGCCATCTGGTGGGCCTCGCGCGGCTGCCTTCGAGTTCTTTTGTGGTCCTTCTGGGCCGTCTTGAGGGCTTCTTGCACGGTCTTGGGGGCCCCTTTGGGCCGTCTTGGTTTTGGGGCAATCTTGGGCCATCTTAGGGTCCTGTTGGTGGCATCTGGGGCCGTTGTGGGGTCATTTGGAAGGTTTCGCGGCCGCTTTGGAGCTCTCCTGGGGTCCCCCTGGGCCGTTTCAGGGGCCTCGTGGACCGTCGTGGGGGGCTCTGAAGGACGTCTTGGGGCCGTCTTAGGGGCCGTCATGGGGCCTTCCTAGGGCCTCTGGGGCAGTCTCGTGGCCATGTTGGGGGCTCTGTTGGGGGCTCTTTGGGCCATAGTGGGCCTCTGAGATTTAGAAAAAATGCGCGGACGCTACAGCCCGTCAAAAGCTGACGGGAAATCAATGACTTTGGCTTCTGGAGGCGCTCTTGGGTGGTCCTTTTGGGGCAGTCAGGGGCCGCCTTGAGGGCCGCTTTTGCCCTTTTGGGACCACTTTGGGCCCGTTGCCAGGTGCATGTTGGACACTTTTGAGGTCGTCTTGAGGCCGCTTTGGACCCCCAAAAGCCCAAGAGGCCGAGATAGTATATGTCCACTGGTGTTTGTAGGCTTTCTACAGCCCAGAAGGGGTCACCACTTTCGGTGCGGTGGATGTGGCGTGGCATCGGGGGGGGCGGGAGGAGATATAGTATGCAAAGCATCACCATATGTAGCAATTGGGTAAACACGGTGTACATTACAAGTGTCCAATGATTGGATGCATAGGATACGTTGCATCATATCGTCACCGCAGAGCTGCCTCCGGCAACACGTCACTTTTGGATGTGGATTCTTTTCGCTTTACGGGGTGCGCGTCCACAGCACGTGCAGTCCAGTCGTTGTGGGGCCGGGTGGGGCCCTCTTTGGAGTCTCTTGGACGCCTCTTGGGGTCTTCTCGGGAACGTGTTTGGGGTCTCGGGGGGTTTCTTGGGTAGGGGAACAAAAAGTGGCATAAACATAAACTCCGAGGTACGCGCGGATTTCTCGGATCGGCGCTGGGGCCCCCTGGCGGCCCCTCCGGCGCCGCCCCTGGCGCGCTCCGCGCGCCATGGAGGTAGGTCGAGCGCCGTTCCGAGAAATCCGCGCGGACCTCCGAGTTGTTATGATTATGTCACTTCTGTTCCCCTATTCCTGGGTGTTTGGGGGGCCGTCTTGTGGCCATTTTGGAGGCTGCTTGGGCCGTCATGGTCCTTTCTGAGATTTCAAGGAAATTACCCCAGTACGACCCTACCTAGAAGTTGGAGCCCCTAGGAAAGCAGCATTAGTTGCTATGCTATGCCATGCCATGCTATGCTGCGCTATGCTATGATATGCTAAGCTATGATATGCTATGCCATGCTGCGCTGTGCTATGCTAAGCTATGCTATGCTAAGCTGCGCTATGCTATTATATGCTATGCTGCGCTATGCTATGCTATACTGGGCTGTGCTATGATATGATGTGCTGCGCTGTGCTACGCTATGCTATGCTGTGCTCTGCTATGCTATGCTAAAGCTCAGCGAAGCTAAGATGAAGGTACGTTGAACTAATATAAGCATGAGCTAAGCTGCAGCTAAGCTCAGCTAAGCTAAGATAATATGAAATAAGCTAAGCTAAGATGAGATAAGCAACGCTAAGCTAAGCTAAGGGGACGTAACTGGGGGAACCGCGGGGCGGATGCCGGGGGAACCGCCCGGGGCGCGTTCCACTGCCCGGCCCCTTTAAGCACAGAGAGTAAGAACCCTTCTAGGCAGAGCCTAGGTAGGGAACAAAACACGGGAAAGCTAAAATCTGCCAAAAACAAAGAGGAAATCAATGGTTTGGGCTTCTGGAGGCACTCTTGGAGGTTCTCTTGGGGCCCTCCTGCGCCGTCTTTGGGTTTTTGGAGGTCCTTTGGGGGCCATCTTGGACTCTCTTGGGGCTGCCTTGGCCCGTACTGAGGCTATTTTGAACCGTCGTGATGCCCTCCTAGACCCCCAAGAGGCCCAAATAACTGATTCCACATAGGTTTTTGTATGTTTTGAGGCCCAGAAGAGGGGGGGCGATCCTGGTCGTCGGAGGTGCCGTGGCCTCTGGGGAAGGTTCTGGGGGGCACATGATAATATGAGACAACTTGTGCAAAGTATGCAATCCTGGGATACGTTACAGGTGTGCACGATTTTGATGATTTAGATGCGTTGTATCATCGCCTCCGCAGACCTGCCTCCGGCAACACGTTCCTTCTGGACGTGGACTCCTCTCCGCTTCGCGGGGTGCACGCCCAGAGCACGTGCAGTCCAGAAGTTCTAGGGTTTTGAGGAAGCCTCTTTGGGGCCTTTTGGAGGCCTTTTCTGGTTTTCGTGGGCCTCTTGCGGTTTTTTGGGGGGCCTCTTGGGGGCGTCTTGGGCCGTCTTGGAGCGCTGTTGCGCCGTCTGGCCCCTTCGGAGGCCATCCTGTGGGCCCTTCGCGGCCGCCTTGCAGCTCTCTTGGGGTCCTCTTGGGCCGTCCTGGGGGCCTCTTGGACCGCCCTGGGGGCCTCTTTTTGGGCCGTCTTGGAGCCCTCTTGGGCCGTCTTGGGGTTCTCTTGGGCCTCTGGGGCCGTCCTGGGACCATTTCGGAGGCCGCTTGGGCCGTCATGGACCTCTAAGGAAGAATAAGACGAGAACGCTAAAAATCCTTGAAACATGAAAAAGAAAATCAATGATTTGGACCTCTGGAGGCGCTCTTGGGGGTCCTCTTGGGGCTCTCTTGGGCCTTCTTGGGGGCATTTTGGACCCTCGTGGGGCCATCTTGAGCCGTCTTGGCGCATTCTTGGACCCCCAGGACGCCTCAGGGGCCCAAATCATTCATTGTCCTAAGTGTTTGTGAGTTTCGAAGCCCTTTGGGGTCCGTCACGCTTGGGTCGACAGAAGGGGCGCGACTCCAGGGGCGGGTGAGGCGGGGACACAAAATAATGTAGCACAAAACGACATGTGGCAATGCAACTGTTGGATACAGTGGGTTCGTTGCATTACAGCATCCGCGGACCTGCCTCCGGCAACACGTCACTTCCGGACGTGGATTCTACAGGCTTACGCCACATTCGCCGACACCTTGAGGCCCGCAAGAGGCAGGGCGACGATCATGAGAAGGAGGATGCGGAAAGGAGGAGAATGATGAGGAGGAGGAGGAGGACTGGGGAGAGGGAGGAGCATGAGGAGGACCAGGAGAAAGTTTTGTGCAGGCTTCCACTCCGTCAAATGTCTAGTGGCCTTCGGACCATCCCGCCACGGTTTCTGGTTTCTGGGTCAGGGTCTTCAGGGAAGTTTCTTGGGGTCTCGTTGGAGTATCTGGGAGGCTCTTTGGGGGAGCTGGCAATTGAGTGGTCCTTGGGGGCCACGTTGGAGTCTCGTGGGAGCTTTCGGAGGCCTCTTGGGGATGCCTAGAAGAAGAGTCGTAGGCGACTCTTCGGGCCTCTTAGGGGATTTTCTGGGGGTTCTTGGGGCCTCCCAGAACCCGATCGGAACCCGCTCGAAGCCGAGGGCTCGAGATGTTTGTTGAGGCATTCCCGTTTGGGCCCTCTCGTAGACTTGTTTTGGAAGCTTCGTGGGCCGTCGTGGAAACCTCTGGGACCACTTGGGGACCCTCTTCCCGACCACTTTCCTAGGGCCATTGTGTGAAATGGGAATAAGTTTGAAGCCTCTTGAGGCTCGTTTTGGGGCCTCTGGGAGTCTTGGTGGCCTCTTGGGGCCGTTTGGGGTCCTCTTGAGGCCTCCTGGGTGCATCCTAGGGCGGTGTCTCGAATTGTCGGTTCGGGCTCCCGCTCTTGCGCCCTTCTTGGGGCCGTCTTGGGGCTCTCTTGGGCTGTCTTGGGCGCATCTTTGGCCGCCTTTGGGCCCTGTCGGGCCGTCTTGGGGTTCTCCTGTGGGCCTCTTCGGGCAGTCGTTGGGGCCTCTTGGGCCTCTTCAACGCCGGGAAGGCCGAAGAGTCGTATATGCTAAAAGTGCACGCTTTATCTAGGGATTTTTGCGATGTTTTGCGTCGTGGGGCCGTCTTGGGAGGCATCTTCGAGACTTTGTAAGTGTCTTGAGAGCATCTTGGGCCGTCTGGAGCCCGTCGTAGGCGTCTTGAAACGCTCTTTCAGCGACCCGGGGCCTTCTTGGACCGTCTTGAGTGCGCCTTGGAGCCGCGTTGGGTCGTCGGAGAGCCCTCTATCCCCCCATGCCGCGTTCGGCCCAGGCGGGGGAGTGTCGAGTTGCCGTTTTGGAGTCCCTGGGGGCGAAGCTCTCCTCCTCTTGCCGGACGACGACGGCGACGACAGCACGGCCGAGGGCCGCCCCATGATATCATCGAGGGTACCGCAGGTCGCCGACGGCCACCATAGACCGCCGAAGGGCACTGTAGGTTCGCGTCGTGTCGATTGGTGGCGACCCCGCCGCGGGCTTTCAAGGTTCAACACCGCCAGTGGCACAGAGTCGGCCTACATGGAAAGATCGGGCCATCGGAAAGCCGCCGATCGTTCAAGATTGAACGATCCACGCGGTGTCAAAAACCAGCGCCATGGTCGTCACGACACGATCCTGCTGGACCAGCGGCGGCGGCAAAGTCAAAGATCAAAGATGACGACGACGACGACGACGACGACGACGACGACGACGACGACGACGACGACGACGGCCACTGCGGCTGCAAGCGGCCAGGGGCGGCCCGGCGCGGCCCGTGGCAGGCGGTGGCCGCAAGCGGCGCCGCGAAGACGAGGGCCGGCGCGAGGTTCGCTTGGAGGGCGGCGGCTCCAGGACACGCCATCGTCGATCGTCGATCGTCGGTGGTCGGTCGTCGTGTGGGTCGGTCGGTCGGCCGGTCGGCCGGTCGTCGTCGTCGTCGTCGTCGTCGTCTTCGGCGTCGTCGTCAACGTCGTCGTCGTCGTCGGGGAAGAGGAGGAGGACGAGGAGGAAGAGGGAGGAGGACGAAGAGGGGGGACAGGAGGGGGGAGGAAGGACAGGAAGACGGGAGGGAGGAAGGACAGGAGGACAGGAGGAGGACGAAGAGGAGGAGGAGGAGGAGGAGGAGGACAGGAGGGGGGGGGAAGGGGGAGAAGGAACAGGAGCGGGAACTATGCTCTGTGGCGTCGACTCCGGCCTCCCGGTGGCTTTTGTCGCACCCCTTCAGGGCCGCGGAAGCACCGCGGCGATCTGGAGCGGCAGAGCCCGAGCAGGTCTCGAGCCGAGAGAAAGCGGTCCAGCGCGTTCCGGGAGGCTCTCAGAGCGTTCCTCGCCGAGCGCGTTCCACTACTCGTAAGGCGGGCCTGTCCCTCTGCAGGGGGAATATTCAAACATAGTCAAAAAGGAGTCTTGGGACGATTTTTTCACTATATATGAGTATGTCTGAATACTTTTTCACTATATGTGATTTTTCCTCCAAAATCTGCCTGTAGCGTCGCTAATCCACGCCCCCTTGATCCATGTTTGCGATCGCCCGAGGGTGCCAGCGGTACCGCTTCGCGCGGGGGCCCCCGCAGCGAGCATGCTCGAACCAACCCTGCAGGCGGCGGCGATGCCCACTCCCTCGGCGACGGCGGCGGCAGCAGGCCTGGGCGTCGCCGAGGAATGCTCTGGCGAGGCTGCTCACGGCGATGCAGACCGACATCTGTTCTTGCGGAGGTCGCCTTCGAGCAGGCGGCCCGGCACCTCGTGGCGATCGTCTGCGCCTGGGCGCCGCGCACGCTGCCGAACGTCGCCCTGGGTGCGCCCCCCACCCCTGCTGCTGCTGGCGCGGCGCAGGCGCTCACGCGCGCGGGCCGCACCGCCTCTCTCCGCGCCCTCCGAGCTCAAGGTGGAGGCGCAGGGCGCGACGCCCGTGCTCTGGGTAGGATCGCCAGTCTTCGAAGTCGACTTGGGGACGCCAGTGCCCGGCGGACACCTTCCACCCAGAAGATCGGCGACGTGCTAGCGCCTTTCTGGGAAGGCTCATCCCGTCCCAGTTCTTCGAGGTGCAGGCGGGGGCGGCCGTGGCGCAAGCCTCCGTCCAGCTCGTGGTCCGCATCGATCCGGAACGAAATTCTCCAGGACGAGCGAAATCCGCTCTGCGATGTTGGCGCCATGAGACCTCTCCCCGGATGCGTCGCGGCTTCGAGGCGAGTCCAGCGGTGGCGACGATGGCCTCCCAACAGGCAGGAACTCGCCGGCCCCACGGGCCGCCAGAGGCCTCCCCATTTCCTCCGCGGCCTCCGCCTCCTCCTCCTTCGCTCGCCACGGCCACACCAACATATAGCACAAGTGGTACAATTAGGGCCGGCAGAATGAGCGAAGCGATTACAGTGGAGGCCAGTCCACAAGAAGCCTTCCACAAGAAACCCAACCCTGAGACTCCAGGACGTCCATTGATTCTTGGTGTGGGCGCCTCACGCTTTCCATCGCAAAACCACTGAAGCCCAAGAAGCCCAGGGCACCTTGGAGGCAAGCGGGGTGTTTCTTGGCATGGGCCTCCACTGCCTATAAAAAGGCGAGCGGGCAAAGGGTAGCGGCATCGCCACCTGTTCCTCTCTGGAGGGGAAAAAACACAGACACACTTAATCGTCGATTCCCAGGGAAATATGGGAAAATATGGGAAGTGGGGGGGGAGACAGAAACCCAGAAAATGTGGAAACACATGGGGATTCTTGCCATCTGTGTGTATTTGTTTGCGTGTCTGTGGGCCCCCCCTCATCCTCCGCCGTCGCGGCGGCTGCGCTGGCCGGGTCCCGCCCGCTCTCCGAGCGCCTCCACGACGGGGGCCGGGCGCCACCGCGGAGCCCGCGGAGCCCGCGGAGCCCGCGGGCCCTCCGAGCCGCGCGGGGTGCCAACGCCCCCCTCCGAGCCCAGGAGGGGTCGCGGGCGCCCCCGGGGCAGCGACGCGTCGGCGGAGCACCACGCTGGGCGGGATGGGCCGAAGGGGACGGGTGCAAGGGCAAAACCTTGGAACATCGTGCATCCTATCCTTACTACTTGCCATCGCTTGCCATCGCTCGGACGTCCGTTGTGCATTCCTCGACTTCGTGCGTGTTGTTCTTGCCTGCATGCTCCCTCCCTCCCTGCCCCGGGGATCGGGGGGCATAGAACTAGACAAGCGTGGGCGCCCCGGCCGCGCCGAGCGCCCAGACCCAGAGGTCGGCGCACAGTCAATCCTCAGGAGGGAACAACAACACACAGACACAGCTCATCGTCGATTCCCGAGAAAACATTGGAAAATATCGGAAGTGGGGGGAAGACAGAAACCCAGAAAATATGGGAGAACAACACGCGCGAAGTCGAAGAATGCACAACGGACGTCCGAGCGATGGCAAGCGATGGCAAGTAGTAAGGATGCACGGTATTCCAAGGTTACCCTTGCACCCATCCCCTTCGGCCCATCCTTGGCCATTTTCGCTGGCCGCGCCCCGCTGGCAAAGTGTCGGCACGGCCTTCCAAGGCCCATGTATCTTTATCGTGCGTCTTTATGAGACGGGTGAACTGTACTCCACGGTGTTGCGCCTCACCGCCTTGGTGAAGACCGCCTTCGTGGTGCCGGTCAGCTGGGCCAGCACGGCGCTGTTCCCTCAATGCGTGATCCTCGGCGGGATCGCCACGCGGGGGAGGAACAGGCGGGCGTCGCCAGCAGTCGATGCGGACCACGAGCTGGACGGAGGCTTGCGCCACGGCCGCCCCCGCCTGCACCTCGAAGAACTGGGACGGGATGAGCCTTCCCAGAAAGGCGCTAGCACGTCGCCGATCTTCTGGGTGGAAGGTGTCCGCCGGGCACTGGCGTCCCCAAGTCGACTTCGAAGACTGGCGATCCTACCCAGAGCACGGGCGTCGCGCCCTGCGCCTCCACCTTGAGCTCGGAGGGCGCGGAGAGAGGCGGTGCGGCCCGCGCGCGTGAGCGCCTGCGCCGCGCCAGCAGCAGCAGGGGTGGGGGGCGCACCCAGGGCGACGTTCGGCAGCGTGCGCGGCGCCCAGGCGCAGACGATCGCCACGAGGTGCCGGGCCGCCTGCTCGAAGGCGACCTCCGCAACGAACAGATGTCGGTCTGCATCGCCGTGAGCAGCCTCGCCAGAGCATTCCTCGGCGACGCCCAGGCCTGCTGCCGCCGCCGTCGCCGAGGGAGTGGGCATCGCCGCCGCCTGCAGGGTTGGTTCGAGCATGCTCGCTGCGGGGGCCCCCGCGCGAAGCGGTACCGCTGGCACCCTCGGGCGATCGCAAACATGGATCAAGGGGGCGTGGATTGGCGACGAGTCCCGTTTCCATGGAAATCGCGGGCTTCCGCTGCCGAGCGAGGCGGCACCGGCCACATTTTGGGATGGCACCGCCCCCGATCCATGGATCTGGGGACCGTGCGCCAAATCCGCGGATCGCCAATCCACCTTTGCGCGGCCCCGATTTGGGGGGCGCGGCGCCCAGAAGGGGCGCCGGGCTTCCCGCACCTGCCGGCGCCGGCGGCCCCCCTCGGCCACGCGCAGAGGGTCGGCAGCGAGCGAGGGGGGGAAGTGAGAAGGAGGGGAGGCCTTTCTCGGAAGGCTCGGGCGCCACCCGGCCTCCCGGGAAGTCTCCTGAGCCCCTCCCCGAAGGCCCCGCAACTGAGCGGCCCGTCCGCGTGGCTTCAACAGCGCCGGCCGTCGGGTGCCCGCAGGGCGGGAGCGGGGCCGGCGGCGCCGTCTGCAGCCGCCCACGGGGGCGCCGGTGGGCCGGGCCCGTCCTGCATGCCAGGTGCCGCTCGCGGCCACGTCGGGCGCGCGCCGTGTCCCGGGCGCTGTAGCTCGAAGGAGAAAAACGCCATGAACATGAACTTTTGGCGCTCCGCGCGGGTTTCTTGGATCCGCGCTGGGCCCTCGAGGCGGCGCCTCTGGCGCGCTCCGCGCGCCAGGGAGGGGGGTCCAGCGCGGAGAAATCCGTGCGGACCTCCAAGAGTGCATGTGTATGTGGTGTTTTGTTCCTCTGGTAGCTTTGCCAACGGGGACCGCGCCCAAACGGCGGCACGCGGAGCGGGACGGCGCCGCTGCGAGCAGGGGCATCGTCGCGCAGGTCCGCCCGGGGGGAGCGGCGCTGGCAGGCGGTGGCGGCGCAGCGCGCGGGCTGCGGATGTTGTGTGGGCGCCTCCCGCCATGTGTCGGCGACTACAGATGGTGTGGTTACGCCGGGGTGTGGTTTGCGATCTGCGTCGCTGGGGCTTGGGGGGCACCGCGTTGCCCTCGTTGGGCCTTCTCGGGGCGCGGCTGAGAACTCTGTCGCGGTCCTCGCCCGCCTCCCAGGGTGCGGATTGTAAACCACACTTTTGGTAAATATTTCTTTCTAGAAAAAGATAGGTTCTACCCCCCCGGCCTTCTCCACTCACTGGGAACCGATATAAAACACATGATTCTGACCCACTGTCCATCCTACCTGTGAAGTCATATTATCCCAGCCGAACGGGTATCGGTCCCCCCTCGGTTCCCTTGCAAAAGATATTATGCGCGCGCATTCGTTTATCAAAAATCATAAGGTTACAAGAATCCCTTGCAAAAATTGGGCGAAGTACACACGCGCGCGTAGTCGCGCGCGCATGCCGATATCCTTCAAATACCTTCGGTGTTGGAAGGATTTCAAAATCGAGTGTCCGAACAACATATACAAACACAAGGTGTCGCAACACGGATGTTCAACAAAAGCGTGCGCGATCTTGCGAATTCTTACGAGGACCATTGGTTTTCAACATTTACTAGGAAATAGTACCAAACGGGCTTCGCGCACGCGCATGTCGAAATCGTTCGAGCGCCATTGCGCGCGTGCCGTCGCGAGAATCCTCTGCAAGAAAATGGGACGAAGTGCGCGCGCGTCGTCGCGCGCGCGCATGCCGAAATCCTTCAAAACCCTCGGTTTCGGATGTCGAAATCGAGTGTCCAACAAATATATACAAAAACATATGGTGTCGCAACACGGATGTTCAACAAAAGCGTGCGCGTCTTGCGAATTCTTAAGAGAATCATGAATTGTTTCAACATTTTCATGCTACCAAACAGGCTTCGCGCGCGCATCTCGAGGTCGTTCGAACGCCTTTGCGCGCGTGCCGTCGCGAGAATCCTTCGCAAGAAAATGGACGAAGTGCGCGCGCGCGTCGTCGCGCGCGCATGCCGAAATCCTTCAAAAACCCTCGGTTTCGGAAGGATGTCAAAGTCGAGTGCCCAACAAATATACAAAAACATTTGGTTTTGCCACACGGATGTTCAACAAACGCGTGCGCATTTTTGCGAATTTTTAAGAGAACCATAAGTTTGTGCAACATTAGCATGCTACCAAACGGGCTTCGCGCGCGCATGTCGAAATCGTTCGAACGCCTTTTGCGCGCGTGCTGGGGTGGCACAATCCGTGTCAAATAGTACCATGCGAGCCACTTTCGCGCGTCTGCTGCGCGCTCATTTCGAATTCCTTCCAAATCCTCCATCACCGACGCGAAAACACCATCATCGTCGTCGGCGTGATCGGCATCGGCACCGTCATCGCCACTATCATCATCATCGTGTCTAGAATTGTCGGGTTTGCCATGATACCGCACCCGCCCAAGCCGCCGACTCGTACTCAAGTGCCCATCCGGATGAGCCGAGCCGTCAGCACCACCGCGGCCTCGTCTGCCGCGCCAAACCACCTGGCCGCTGCGCGCGCGCACATGCGCGGTTTGGCGCTGCCGCAGAGATGCACCAGCCAGCGCCAAGCACTCATCGCAATCGCCGCCGCATGAGGTTTGCAAACCAAGTTGCGGGTGGGAGGGTGGGATGTTTGCACGAGCAGTGGAGTGGACAATTCACTGCGAGCGAAAAGTCACCACACCCCTAGGAGTCGCCGAACTTGGCTCTGGGTTGCGGCCCCTGTCGCGCCCGGGCCTTTGCGAAGGGTTCCCACCGTCGCCCGCGTTTGGCGGCGGCTTGGGGCTGCTCCGAGGGGGTGGCGTCCAGCAGGCCACCCCTGTGCGCCCCGCCCACCGTCGCCTCGGGGCGGCCACGGTCACTATCGCCAGCTCCGGCGGCGTCGCCCTGCGCCGTTCTCCGCGGGAGGCCCGACGTCCGAGGTTGCGGTCGCCGTTACGGCTGCGGCAGCGGTCGCGGCCTCCGTCCGAGAGCAGGCGCGGGGCGATCACGTCCGCGGCGCGGGGCTCACGCCACTCGGCGAGCGGTGGAAACCCGTGCGGCCGCAGGCTGCTTCGTGGTGCGGTCGGTCAGTTGCAGAGCTCCGGGGCGTTGCTCTCGAGCCCGCGGCGGAGGGGCGACCGGCAGAGGAGGAAGGGGCACCGAGGTTGAATTCGAAGATCATAAACGTGTCACAAAGAAAACAGCATAAATACAATATTGTGGCGCTCCGACCGAATTTCTTGGATCTGCCTTAGGCCCCCCTGGCGGCGCCTCTGGCGCCGCCGCCCCTGGCGCGCTCCGCGAGGGGGTCCAGCTCGGATCTGAGACGTATGTGCGGACCGCCAAAAGGTATGCTTAGTCAGCTGATTGTTACTCTAAACATCGCGATTAGTGCATGCGGCGAAGGTGGGGAGTGGCAACATTCAGATATCACTAAGTGTACCAATTCTGAGGAGTGGATGAAGCCCGACGCCATCAATTGCTGCGCTGAGGTCAGTGCAAGTGGGGAGGGCGAGAGGTGGCAGAGCAGCGGTGGTGCTCCGCTTCGCACTGCGATGCCGGAGCCGACAGCGCGAGCGTCGCAGGCATCCAGACACGGCGAGCACAGGGGTGCAGGTCTGCGGGCGGTACCACCTCGAACGAAACGAAACGAAACGCGCGACGAACGCGGCGAGTCGGGTGGGATCCGGGGGAAGGGACAGTGGGCCATCCAGGACTCGCGGGTAGGTGCTCTGGAGGTTGCCTGTGCCTCTCCAGAGTTCCTCAGGACCCCCCGAGCCAGGGACAGCGTCGCCGAAGACAAGGCAGAACTTCATACACCCGAGAGTTCTGTGCCCCGCGCGGACTTCTTGGACTTCTCGTTCTCCGTGGGCACCACCCGCCCCCTCCCCCGTTTCAGGGGCGAATATGGGGGGGGATAGGCGCAGAGGATCTCTCGGCGATGTATCGCCAATTCCAGGTCGATGCTTTCACCCCTGCGCCATCCCCCCTCCTGTAGCCAAAGCGCACAGTGAGGACCAACAGCTTCCCAAGGCTACGCTCGCGTCCCTGCCCCTGCGGCCCATCCTTGGCGATCTTCGCTGCCCAGCCCCGCCCGAGAAGCGTCAACATGGGCCCTCCAAGGCCCTGTTGGCTGCATCCTCCCCGCGCGTCCTTCTGTTGTGTGTTTTGACTGCATCGTTCCTCCTCGGCCCCTCCTCCTGCTCGTCCTCCTCCTCCTCCTGCTCCTCCTCCTCCCCGTCCTCCTCCTCCTCCTCCTCCTCCTCCTCCCTCCTCCTCCTCCTCCTCCTCCTCCTCCTCCTCCTCCTCCTCCTCCTCCTCCTCCTCCTCCTCCTCCTCCTCCTCCTCCTCCTCCTCCCCGCCCCTTGGGGCGGCCCCGCCCGCGCAGGAGCCGCGGCCGGTGGCGGGGGCGCGAGCAGGACTGCCGCAGGAGGAGGCGCCCCGCGGGGGGGGGGGGGGGGGGGGGGGGCGCGCCTTCGCCGTCCGTCGTGCGCCGGCAGGGATGGCGAGGGCGAAGGTCGAGCAGCGGCGAAGCGTCCTGGCCTGCCTCGGGGCCCACCAGAGAACGCTCCAATGAGTGAACCTTCTGAGGTCTGCACGAGGTTGTCTCAGAACACTGCCTGTTGGGACCGTCTTCGTTTGATGCATCGGCTTCGAATTCCAAAAGCGCTGCGTCTCTTGTTCGGACTTGCTTTGGTTCTGAGAATGTCGTGCTTGGCCCACAGGAATGCCAGGACGGTCGGACCCTGCTCAGGTCGGGCGAAGAGAACTATGTCCATGCACCGATCCTGGCAAGGCCCATTCTTGACCCAGGATCGGTGCATATGCCTTCCTGGCCAAGGCAGGAGGGCGTATGCACCGATCATGGGCTCAGGATGGGTCTGGCCAGAATCGGTGCATGTGCATAGTTCTCTTTCCTCTGTCAGGAGGATCAGAGTTATGTTTGCCATCCACGGTCAGAGACCCACCTGGATGGGGCAGAGAGACAAGGGCTCGACTGAGACCCTGGTCCTCTTCGGGTAGAGACCTGTGCCTAATCTTCTCCAGTGGTGGCTCTTGCGAGGGTGAGCGAGAGGCTGAGGGCCAGGGTAAGAGGAGGGAGAGGTAAGGGTGAACAAGTGACATAGCTATAAACATTCGGATGCCCGACATTTAGTTTTATGCAATATATTGACATATCATAGACATGTATTCCGATGTTGTTGCCCTTCCCCTATCGTCGCCACGGCTGGATTGGCTTCGAGACGCTGGGCAGAACACATCCCAGGACATGTCCACGATGTAGCGGTATCAGTAGATCGAAAACGCCTACGGCGAACCACCGCCGCCCCCTGGTTGCTGGAAACGCTTATGTGGCCAAACGTTGGCCGAAGTCTTGTTAGGCTATATGTTCCGCCAGCTGTGGAATCCCTTTGGGAAACGCTTGGGGGGAAAGAGAGTGAGGAGGAGTAGAGCGAGGAGAAGGAAGAGGAGGAAGAAGAAGAAGAAGAGGAGGAGTCCTATTGGGGCCTCCTGAGGAGTCCTGGGGGCCTCTGTGGAGCCTCTCGTGGTCTCATGGGAACTTCTTGGCAGCCTCTTGGGGCCTCTGCGGAGCCTCTTGGGGGGCTTTTGGGGCATCTTGGGAGTCCCTGGGGGCCTCTTGCGGGCCTCTTGACATTCCGATGCCGTCTTGGGGGCCTCTCTGGGCCGTCACGGGGCTATTGGGGGCGCTTTAGGGCAGTTTTGGAGGTGTCATGTGAGGGGGGCCGTTTTCCGGGCCTCTTGGCCGTTTTGGGTCATCTTGGCCCGTCTTAAGGCCCTCTCGGGGGCTTCTTTGACCATCTTGGAGTCATCTTGAAGGCCTCTCGGACCGTCTTCAGATTTAGGAAGCCAGAAAAGGAAAGAAATGAAATCCTTCCAACCCAGTGTTCAATTCAATGATTTGGGTTTCTTCGAAGGTCTTTTAGAGTCCTCCTGGGGAGACTTGGGAGCCTTGTGGGCCTTTGTGAGGCCATACGTGACCGTCTTGGGTCCATCTTGAGCCGCCTTGGCAGCATATTGGGCCAATGTGTTGCTCCCTTGGGCGGGCATCGTGGACGCTTTAGACGCGTCTTGGGACCGTCTTGGAGGCAACCCTGACCGTCTTGGAACCAGATGCTCTGGACATGAAGGTCTGCTTTGGTCTTTCCGTGTGGTCGGCGGGTCAAGACGACGGCCCTTAGGAACCTTTGAACAAGGTTCTGAGCGCGTCGGCATGCCATGCACCTTTGTGATAAGCAAGGGGCGGCGGATCGAAGACGTCTGATTACGGCGAACCACCGCCGCCCCTTGGTTCTGGTAACCGCCTATGTGGCCAAACGTTGGGCGAAGTCTTGCCAAGGTATTGGGCTATGTGTTTCCCCAGCCGTTCAGCCGTTGTGGAAACCCTTGGGGGAGCAGCTGTGGCAGGAAGAGGGAGGAGGAGAAGGAGAGGGAGGAGGAGGAGGAGGAGGAGGAGGAGGAGGAGGAGGAGGATCAGAAGGCCTCTTGGGGCACTCTAGGGGCCTATCGGATGCTCCCGAGGGCCTCGTGGGGCTACTCGCTTGCCTCTTGGAGGCTTCTTGGCTTTCGGAGGCCGTTTTGGCGGCCCTTCCGGGTCAACCTGTGACCCTCTTTCGGCACTTGATTGCCGTCTTGGAGGTCTTGGAGCCCTCGGGGGGCTGGTGGGCCCTTTGAGGGTTCTCTTGGCCGTCTAAGGAACCCTCCTGGGGGCCTCTTGGACCGTCATGAGGCTATCTTGGAGGCTCGGGTGGGGGGTAGTTAAGCCCCCCCCCCCACTTTGGAAAGGGGGGGGGTAGCTTTCGAGGGGCAGAAACATTGGAAGAGGGGGGGGTGGCGTCCGGCAGGTGAGGTCCAAGGGGGGAGAAGCTAAGCCCGCCCCCCTTTTGGAGGAGGGGCAGCGTCTGGTGCGCGAAAGGGAGGGGGGAGCTTCGAAGGGGCGGGAAGAAAGGATGGGCGGGGGCCTCCAGCAGGGGAGGTCCAAAGGGGGGGGGGCTGAGGGGGGACCCCCCCCGTCTTTGGGAGTGTACCGGGCGCGCTCTTTCAAATCTGTAGACACGCTGTGCCTGCGTGGGCAGTGTGTTCGCCAGCTGTTGTGGAAGCCCTTCGGGGAAGCTTGGGGGAGGCAATTCAGGAGGAGGAAAAAGAGGAGACGGAGGAGAAGGAGGAGGAGGAAGAGACATCTAGTGAGCCTCTTGGGGCACGCTTTGGTCCTCTGGGGAGGTTGAGTTTGTTCCCTGAAGCCGTGCGGGCAGGCTTCCGGGAACGCCCATTTGTATGGTTGTGTATTCTTACAGAACGATATCCGCAAGGTCGGAGCATGTTGGGCAGGGCACTGATGATGACGATGTTGATGCTAATGCTGATGATGATGTTGATGATGATGATGCTGATGTTGATGCTGATGCTGATGCTGATGCTGATGCTGATGCTGATGCTGATGCTGATGCTGATGATGCTGATGCTGATGCTGATGATGATCATGATCATGATCATGATCATGATGATGATGATGATGATGATGATGATGATGATGATGATGATGATGATGATGATGATGATGATGATGATGCTGAGGGTGTTGATGAGGAAATTGGTGCGGCTGAGCGGGGAAGAGCTAAGACAGGAAATGTGTGGACCATGTGTTCCGCCAGCCGGTGTAAAAACCTTTTTGGGGAACGCTTGGGTGAAAAGTAGAGGAGGAGGGAGGAAACGAAAAGAGGATGAGAAGGAGACGGCCTCATGGCAGCCTCTTGGGGCACCCTTTGGACCTCCTAAGAGCTTCAAGAGGCCTCTTGGAGGCCTCATTTGACCTCTTGGTGGCCTTGAGAGTGGTTTTCTGGGCATAGTGGGGCCATCTCGGGCAGTCTTTGCTTCATATTGTGCCGTGTTGGAAGCATCTTGGGCTCTTTTGGGGGCATATCAGCCGTTTTGGAAGCATCCTGGAGGCCACCTTGGGCCATCTCGGCAGTCTTGGGGCAACTGTTTGTAGACGCTGCGGTCTGTCTGGGTCCTTGAACGCGGCTGGCTGGTTGGGCCGAGACCGTATTGGGAATTGTTCACCAGGACCAAGACAACCTAACATCTGGCACGGCGTGCATTCCTGTGGCAAGCCATAGGGGGGCGGCGGATCGAAGACGCCAACGGCAAATCACCGCCGCCCCCTGCCTTTTGGAGGGCTGTGTGTGTCCCCCAGCCGTTGTGGAAACAATTCGGGGAACACGTTGGGGAGTTTACGGATCTTTGTGGAGCTGGTGTTTTTGTTGTTTCCATATTTGAGCATCTTTCGGCGTCCTTCCGGGTGGCTGGTGGGTTGGGCAGAAGATTTCTGGGAATGTTTTAAGAGCCAAGAACTACCCAACATCTGGCACGCCGTGCACCCGTGTGGCAAGCCACAGATGGCGGCAGATCTAGTTGCTTTCGGCCCATTCCGCCACCGCGACTGGGTTGTAGGGTAGAGGCCCCTTGGATCCATGTGGGCATTTCTTGGGAGGCCGATAGGAAGCCTCTTGAAGCTGGTTTTTGGAGTGTATTTGGGCCTCGGGATTTCTGTGGAGTTCTCTCGGAAGCCATTTGTAGGCGGTTTTGCAACGTCTTGGGGCCTGACTTGGGCCTGATTCGGATCTCTTGGGTGCCTCTTGGAGGCCTGCTGGCGGTCTTGGGGGTCATCTTGGCGGAGTGTTCGAAGTGTCAGTTCGAGTTCCCCCTTTGGAGCCGTCTTGGAGGCCTGTTGGGCCGTGTTGACGTCATCGTGGGCCGTCTTGGGGACCCTTTGGACGGTCCTGGTGCGATTTGCGGGGCCCCATGGGCCACCATGGAGTGTCGGAAGTTTGAACACGAGTGCCATGTTTAATCCATCCTCAAAAACACACCGTGGAGGCCAGCCCACAAGAAACCCTCCACAAGAAACCCAGCACAAGAAACCCTCCACCTGAGACTCCAGGACATCCATTGATTTTTGGTGTGGGAACGTCACGCTTTCCATACCGAAACCATCAAAGCCCAAGAAACCCAGGCACCCTGGAGGCAAGCAGGGTGTTTCTCGGCATGGGTATCTACTGTGTGACATTCTTTAAATTTGGCCAATCGAGGCCCTCTTGGGGGTACTTCTGGGGCTTTCTGGGGACGTCTTGGGCGTGTCTTGGGCCATCTGAAGGCCATCTTGGGAGTCTGGGAGAGATCTTGGGGCGGTTCGGGGCCCTCTTGGACCGTCTTCGGGGCCGCTCGGGGCATCCTGCCCCACTGTGGTGCCCTCTTGCAGGCCGCGCGAGGTAACGCGACGAGGCCCAGACGCGCCCGGTAGCGCCCAGTCTTCAGGGCCGTGGACCCTCGAAGGAGCACTCGATACAAAAATTAGCGGATTGCCAGCAGCCTTGGCGGAATGTGCTTCTGCGTGGGCCCACGGGGGCCTGATGCATGCCTCGGGGCACGATGGCACAGCAGTTCACAGCACATCAACCGTAAGGGTGAGGTTTTGTTCTCCTCTCCCCCCTCCCTCCCTCCCTCCCTCCCTCCCTCCCTCCCTCTCCTCCCTCTCCTCCTCCTCCTCCTCCTCCTCCTCCTCCTCAACCTCCTCCTCCTCCCTCCTCCTCCTCCTCCTCCTCCTCCTCCTCCTCCTCCTCCTCCTCCTCCTCCTCCTCCTCCTCCTCCCTCCGCTCTCCCTGGAATAAGAGTTGTTGCTGCAATTGCGGTCATTGATGTAACACGCCGAGAGCTCGTCAGCGAGCCCGACCGCCCTCCAGGGGCCCGGGCGCGGGTGCCCCCCGCACCGCTGCTTCCCGCTTCCCGCTTGTTGTCCGCACGCCGATACGACATGCGGTGCATGCTGGAAGCCGTCTTTTGGGATTCCAGACGAGCGGATCCTCGGCGTGATGACGCCAATTCGGTTGCCAGCCCTGAATCCTGAAGCCTGGCACCGTCAGACAAGTTCGAGCGTCTTCCAGCGATGGCGAGCACTCGGCGGCACGCACACGAGTCCGGAGTTGCCAGAGGTGTCCCTAATTAGGCCACGGTGTCCCTAGGATGTCCCGGGAGGTCTGCATGGCTTTCAGAGCACCACTCACGAGGCCTAGGGGGTCTTAGGGGCTACACAATGAAGCAGGAAACCGCGGAAACCTTGGGCCAGGAACGAGTTGCCCCAACAGGGGGTGAAGAAAGGGGCCCTTTAGGACCCTTTTTGGAGCCAGCTGGGGCACTGATGGGGCCCTTCAGGGCTTTTTTCTTCACCCCCCATTTGGGTCAACCCCCCATTGCCACCCGCCCGAGCCTTGCAACCCCCGAAGAAGGGTGTGGGGCGAAGGGGAGAGCCTTCTGCAGAAATCCGTCGGTTGCTTCAGAAGGCGTCCTGCCCCTGCCGCTGGAGAGCCTCCCCCTGCGGGCGGCCGCCGCTGCCCGCAAAAAGGGGAGAGGAGGGGAGGAGAACGAGGAGGGGGATGGAAGGGAAGAGAAAGGCGGAAGGAAAGGAGGGATGGGGAGGACAAGGGACGGAGGAGCAGCGGGAGGAGAAAGAGGATGAGGAGGAGGAGGAGGAGGAGGAGGAGGAGGAATGGAATGGAAGGAGGCGAAGGAGGGAGAGGAATGGGGCGGAGGAGGAGGAGGACAAACGCGAGGAAGGGGCGCGCCAGGGAGGAGGAGGAGGGGCAGGAGGAGCGGGAGCAGAAGAGAGGGGCGTTGCAATGATCCGCCCCTTGCGCGGCAGGTCCGACCCAGACCGCCACCTGTGGTAGCACGGCGGCACGCGAGCCTTTCTCGTTCCCAGATTTCCTGAGCGCCGCGGGCAAGCCACGACGAAGCGCAGTTCCGGACTCTGGGCCTCCCCCTGGGAGTCCCAGGGGGGGAAGGGGGAAGGGCCTTAGCGGGCCATTGGCTCCGTCGAGGAGCGCCCCGCGGCAGGCTTCGGGGGGCGACGTCGGAAGCCGGGCGACGAAATCTATACATATCCACTGATCCCTGGCCAGGCCCATCTTGAACCCAGGAGCTGTGTATACGCCCTCCTGGCCAAGCGAAGAGGGCGTGGCGTATACACCGCTGCTGGGTTCAGGATGGACCTGGCCAGGGAGCAGTGGATATGTATTTAGACTTCGTCGCCCGAGGAAGTCTGGCCCATCTTTTGTCTTTCGTTTTCATCGGGTGCACCGTGAGGCTGAAGGATGCCAGCCGTGCACCAACACCGACCCTGGCCAGGCCGACTCCTGCGCACAGGATCGGCTTCAATCCACGCTTCTTCCCAGACGGGCCCAGTGGGCGCGTAGCCATCGGTCGTTGAACGTGGGTATTTTGGAACTCCCAGATGCCATTCTACTTTAAGCGCCTCCCTACTTCAATGATCGAGTGGATTCACCGTTTCCGACCTCCTTAGAGGGCGGACGGAACACAATATGTTTCAACGCCTTCCTACTTCATGGTTCTACCTGCTTCTTCCGACCGATGGGTACACCGATTCTGGCCAGCGTCGGCGTCCGTGTATCATTAGCGTCCTTCTAGCGATTGTCTTGAACGAGCGAATCTACAGCCAACGGTTCTGGCCGAATGTGGAGCGTTGGATCGCCATTAAGGTGCCGACTGAGGATCGCCTCCGGATTCAGGTCCTCTCGCTCCCTTTCCTCAGTCCTCTCTGCAGTCCTCCTCCTGGAGTCCTCCTCCCACCCCCCTTAGCCCTCTTCCTTCCTCTCTGCAGTCCTCATTCCTCTCTGCAGTCCTCCTCCCTGGAGTCCTCCTCCTTCCCCCCACCCCTCTGAGCCTCCTGAAGGCCGCCGAATGCCACCCGAAAGCCTCCGAGCATCCCCGGATCGGGGTTCGCAGAAGGGGGGTGCGGACCAGGGCGACGATTCCATGCAGAAGTCTCTGGCTTACGTTGCTTTACTCCGCAGATGTCCATCGCGATGTCCTTCGACCCCTCCCCCTGGAAGGTGCCAGAACCCCCGTGTTTCAACACGGTGGGGCCGGGCCACGCAGTTTGCCCTGCCCCCCCCCCGCTTTCGCGGCGCGCGCCTTCCAAGGGTCGGAGAAACGTAAGGCTCGAGCTCGCTGGAATTCGGGCCTGCCGACGCTTCTCGACGGGCCCCTTCTCAGCTCTGGCGGCCCAGTTTTCGCGGGACGCTTGCAGCGGGAGCTCGCGTCAAGTTGCCGACTTCAGATAGACTATGCCTCCTAGAGGGGGTCGGAGTAGATGAGCTCGGAGGATCGCGCCACATCACCGATGCATCGCCAGTGCGGCTCGATGTGAAGCCCGATATGCTTCACGCCGACGTCGCCGATGCATCGCGACGCCGACAACGCATCGCCAGTGCATCGCCGGTGCATCACCGATGCATCGTCGATGTATCGGCGATGCGGCGCGATCCTCCGATCCCATCTGCTTCGACCCCATCTAGGAAACCTATAAGAGTCACCGCTCACCAACCCACCCGAAGGCCCCGATTTGCCCTCCTTTTTCAGTGGGGGGGCCGGGAAACATTGATATGTATAAATATGTGCATATATATATATATATATATATATGTACGTACGTACGTACGTACGTACGTACGTACGTACGCATGTGTATATATATATATATATATATATATATACATATGTGTGTATGTATGTGTGTGTAGGTAGGTAGGTAGGTAGGTCGGTAGGTCGGTAGGTCGGTAGGTATATAATGTATATGTATATATATATATATATATATATATGTGTTTATACATATATATTCCGCTTACAAAATATATGTGTGTATATATATAGGTATATAATATATATGTATATCAATGTTTACAAGCCCCGGGGGGGTGGGGAAACCATCCCCCCCCCAAAAAAAAAACTGGACCCCCGGGATCTGGGGTTCTCGGGCTCCCTTGGACGTCCTTGGAAAAGGTCACCCGGCTTTCCGGGTCTCCACGAACGCCTTGCCAGCAGACCCAGAGCGATCCGAGGGGTCATCAGAAAGGCTCAAGGGAGGCCCCAGACAGCACAAGAGCGCTCCAAGAGGGACTCCAATTGCGTCAGGACGGCCCAAAAGACCCCCAAGGCACCCCGAAAAGCTTTCCAAGGGGCCTTCAAAACACAAAAATCGTCCCATTCCCTTTGTAAAACTTGCAATTTAGCATATTCGCCTTTCGGATTTCATCAGCTTTCAAGACGGTTTCAAAGCCCCCGAGATCGCCTCAAGACGCCCCAAAAGGCCCCCAAGGAAGAAGACGGCCGAGCCGGGCCCCACGATCGCCCACGAGAGCCCCAAGACAGCCCATAATGGAACCAAGAGGCCCTCCAAGGGCTCCCAGCACAGACCCAAAAGGGCCATGGGAGGTCCCCAGAAGTGCCCAAGATGGGTCCAAAGGGGGCTCCAGCGGGCCCAAGCTCCACAAGAAGGCCCCAGGACGGCCCATGAAGGTGCCCAAACGGCCCACGAGGGCCCCGAAAACACCCCCACGATGTTTCCGAATGCAAACATAAAGGCCCCCAAGGTACCCCAACAAGCTTTCCAAGGGGCCTTCGAAACTCAAAAATCGTCCCGTTCCCTTGGTAAAACTTACAATTTTAGCATATTCGCCTTTCGGATTTCATCAGCTTTCAAGACGGTTTCAAAGCCCCCGAGATCGCCTCAAGACGCCCCAAAAGGCCCCCAAGGAAGCTTCAAGACGGCCGAGCCGGGCCCCACGATCGCCCACGAGAGCCCTAAGACAGCCCATAATGGAACCAAGAGGCCCTCCAAGGGCTCCCAGCACAGACCCAAAAGGGCCATGGGAGGTCCCCAGAAGTGCCCAAGATGGGTCCAAAGGGGGCTCCAGCGGGCCCAAGCTCCCCAAGACGGCCCAAGAAGGCCCCAGGACGGCCCATGAAGGCGCCAAAACGGCCCACGAAGGTTCCGAAAACACCCCTGCGATGTTTCCGAATGCCAACATAAAGACCCCCAAGGCACCCCAAAACGCTTTCCAAGGGGCCTTCGAAACTCAAAAATCGTCCCGTTCCCCTCGTAAAACTTACAATTTAGCATATTCGCCTTTCGGATTTCATCAGCTTTCAAGACGGTTTCACAGCCCCGGAGATCGCCTCCAGACGCCCCAAAAAGCCCCCAAGAAAGCTTTAAGACGGCCGAGCCAGGCCCCACGATCGCCCGCGAGAGCCCCAAGACAGCCAATAATGGAACCAAGAGGCCCCCCAAGGGCTCCCAGCACAGACCCAAAAGGGCCATGGGAGGTCCCCGGAAGTGCCCAAGATGGGTCCAAAGGGGGCTCCAGCGGGCCCAAGCTCCCCAAGACGGCCCAAGAAGGCCCCAGGACGGCCCATGAAGGCGCCAAAACGGCCCACGAGGGCCCCGAAAACACCCCCACGATGTTTCCGAATGCCAACATAAAGACCCCCAAGGCACCCCAACAAGCTTTCCAAGGGGCCTTCAAACACAAAAATCGTCTCGTTCCCTTCGTAAAACTTACAATTTAGCATATGCGCCTTTCGGATTTCATCAGCTTTCAAGACGGTTTCAAAGCCCCCGAGATCGCCTCAGGACGCCCCAAAAGGCCCCCAAGAAAGCTTTAAGACGGCCGAGCCGGGCCCCACAATCGCCCACGAGAGCCCCAAGACAGCCCATAATGGAACCAAGAGGCCCCCCAAGGGCTCCCAGCACAGACCCAAAAGGGCCATGGGAGGTCCCCGGAAGTGCCCAAGATGGGTCCAAAGGGGGCTCCTGCGGGCCCAAGCTCCCCAAGACGGCCCAAGAAGGCCCCAGGACGGCCCATCAAGGCGCCAAAACGGCCCACGAGGTCCCCGAAAACACCCCCACTATGTTTCCGAATGCCAACATAAATTGATTTTGCTCCCATGACAATTCACATTGTGACCCAGTCGTTGAAGGTCTCGTGGCATGCAGCGAAGATGCCCGAGGATGCCCCGTACGAGTTGCATATGCATGTTCGTACCCTTACACACATAAGATTATATGTACATAGTACGCTGTATACACACATACAACAATGTAAGTAGATTGTATACACCTAGACATCTATACGGAACGTGCATGCACGCGCGCGTGTATACATGCATGCGCGCATGTACGCACGCACGCAGTCCGCTTGCGTGCAGAACTCAAAGGACCAAGGTGCATGGCGCGCAGCGCCAATGCAGTCTTGTGTATATATATATATATATATATATATATATGAAGTCCGTACCCTCCCCACAAGCCGGATTTCGGGCGAAACTCGGGTCTGCGGGTCGGGTTGGGGTGGTCTGGTAGGTAGTTAAAGAGGGTCTCGTCATCTTCTTGACGGCACACCAGGCCAAGCTTGAGTCGGGCGTGTCCCTCTACAGGAGGAAGATTCAAATATAGTTTTAAACAATGGTGCGAGCATTTGTTGTGATTTCCTTACTATTCGTCCACAATCTGCCTGCAGGAGGACATGCCCGCCCGAAGGCCAAGCCGAGTCCCCGGAGCCGAGTCTTACGTCTGCCCGACGGGGAGGCGCCCGACGAATGCGCCGCGGCGGCGTGCCCCCTGCAGCATGTGTTGGGCCCTCCCGCGTGCGGCGCGAGTTCGGAGTGCCTCGCCAGCAGCCGAGAGGTTTCGATAACAGCCTGAGGCGGGCCTCCTCCTCCTCCTCGTCCTCGTCCTCAACCTCGTCCTCCCCCTATTCCTCCTCCTATTCCTCCTCCTCCTCCTCCTCCTCCTCCTCCTCCTCCTCCTCCTCCTCCCCCTCCTCCTTCCCCTACTCCCCCTCCCCCTCCTCCTCCTCTCCTCCTCCTCCTCCTCCTCCTCCTCCTCCTCCTCCTCCTCCTCATCGTCATCCTCCTCCTCCTCTTCCTCCTCCTCCTCGTTTTCCTCCTCCTCCTCCTCCTCCTCCTCCTCCTCTTCCTCCCTCTGCCACCGTAGACGTTTTGGCTCAAGACGGAGCTTACCTCCCGCCCCGACTCCAGAGGCTCGAGGTCGAGGTGGAATCGCAGCCCTTCCACAAGGCCGGGTTGCCCCGGCCAGGTTTTCGCAATCTCTCCTTGCCACATGTTCGTTTTGCTGGTCGTCGCAGCCTACGGCCAGCGAGTCTCCCCGCAGCCATGGGAGGTTCCAAGCAGCGAAAAAGCACGACTTCCAGTCGCCCAGGTGCTGGGGACGGACCTGGCGGCAACAAAAATTGTGATGAATGCGGCTGCGCATTCCAGCCTTGCCCACCTCATGCCCGAGCTGACGCACACCAGTCGGCAGCGCAACATGACGGTGGACACCAACAACGGCAGGTCCCGCGCGGCAAGTGGGCCCGCAGCCGCGGTGCTCGTGGGCACGAGACGCAGCCGCCAAAGGAATGCTGTCCCAACTCGAC